TGTCCAGCCGCCATATAGGGTTACTTCTATCACGATTCAGGGTGCTATTGACTGTTCAACCGTTAGAAGCCATTTTACCATCGCAGAGAAGTAAGTCAAAATTGATTAACTTTGCTTGCGCACTGTCTATGTGCTGCTAAGCTGGTTCAGTGATAGTCATCGGTACTTGCGACAGGAGCCATTGCAAATACATTATTCGCATTCAATCTACCCGAGAGTCAAACTACCAGGCCAGTTTAGCGTAATCAATGCAACATTCACACAACCGAAATTGTGCTCACAAGCTCCCGCCCCAGCGATTGTGATGGGCCGCGGATCCATGAGAACGAAAATGCTCGGCGCTAAATGAACGCGATTAATTTTGGCAAGAACGGAGTTTCTGTACATGGATTTTGCATTCCAATTCTCAAAGTGAGCACAAACGAGTGCGAAAAGGAGTTTGAAATCAAAACTGCTCGGAGGAGATACAAAAAGTGGGCGACAGATCAATTAAAATACAATGTTTTATCATTCAGACGAATTAATCGGCACAACTAAGAGATAAGTGATTACAAAGGAAATTCCAGCCAGGAATACAGTACAAAATGCAAGATTATTGCAGAATTTCAGGTTAGAATCTTGCTTGGAAACTAGTCAAGTCAAGTCAAGCTTTGAGGACCATATAGGGTGAATTTCCAGCACTTTCAATAAGTTACAGTGAAAGTAAAATTATAAATTTACTAAATGAAAAACAAACGGATGTGATAGAAATCCGAGTGTGCCAGGTGATTTTCCAAGTCTCTAGTGACAGTTGCTCGGTTTACTAAGATACGGGCAACATAAGGGACGATGTTAATTCGGTATGTGATGGGCCGTGCGCAAAGAATCCTAAATACGGAACACGTATTCGGATGAGACACCGATCTATGGGGTGGTCATGCAAACAGTGTTCTTCATTTGACAGCAAATGGCTGACAAATTTATCACATGAATCAAAATGCTCGCACACAATAAAATCAACCAAAAAAGGGTCTTGGAAATGCCACTGCAGCGGAAAAGAAGTTTAAGAAATATGGAGAAGAGAATAAATTTTTTCTCATTTGGACCTTTAGCCCGAAACAGAGAATACGTAAAACTAGTTCTTTGTGTTCCGAACACAATAAGGCGGGAAACAATTTTTAAAGTGGTCCTCTCAGCTGAAACAACCTTATATTTAAAGTTCGTTTCATTTCTTATTCGAGACGTGATAGACGCCACTGATTTATGGGAACTTTTCGGAAAATCTGTGATTGCTGATGAATTGTCTTCGTGTTTTGACCATATTTTCTGAAGAAGAGCGAAAATTTGCGAATGAAGCAAATTCGACAGATCCATATGGTGTTTGTTCTAAGGGGGCGGGACAGTACCGCGACCAGTTGTCATATAGCGAACCGAAAACGCAGTTCGAACCAAGGCCCCAGAGAGCCTACAACTATCCGATGGGCTTTCAGTTACAGTTTTTACAACCATTAACCATGCACTGTTGTGCGCCGGTTTTGGTTGCTGTCTTTTGGCTACCCATTTAGATGAAGCAGTAGAAGGAAGACAGGTAAGTTGAAAGTAGAGTCGAAGAGAAAATAGAGAATTTTAGTACACTACTGTTGCACAGAAATTGAGAAGATATACGAACGCCACTGTTTACAACAATCAGCCATATCATTGTCTCTAACCATTGATTACAATGATTCCGAGGTCACTATCCAGGGAGAATAACCGTTTCCATATGACCGAGTCTCTTGGTGAGGGTTTTCATACCCTCGTGCCAGATTTTATTTTGATCAGCCTAGGGTTTTTCCACCCACTACCTGCCTCAGCAAACATCGCGCACTGTGACAACGTAATTGGTGGCATGCGTAAACATGTCGTAAACAAGAGGCATCTGGAGTCATTCGAGATTGAGAGGCAGAACTAGACAGGTGGCAAAAATGGGTTTTCCAAATCGGTGCCTAAGACTTTAGGGCAAGACATACTTCGCGGTAGCCCACACCCATGAAGGGTTTTTTCCTTGGGAACCCTAACCGGAGCCTCAGACTCAAAACTTTAATCCATAAGGCAGTGGAACGTAGATTCGACACCGGAGTGTGACCGAAGCATCCGTGTGGAAGCTTCTAGAGACCTGTAACTCAAGGTCTTTAGGTTTCTATGCAGTGTATTGTTTGCTAAGTGCATTCATTGTCGGTCCGGTGTTCGGGATTGGCCCTTAGTTTCATGCAACCAATGTGGACGAGACAGCACCTAATTAGCTGCCCAGCTTTGGCGGGCAGTAGTTGTCCAATCAAGTACGAAGACTTCTCCACCGTCGAGAGGAACCCCCCAGGGAGCCCGATCCTACATCTATCTAGCGAGTTTTTTTGACTGATAGGCGGTCCCTCACCGTGTTTATTTTCCGGAATGTGACCTCTCCAGGGGCGGGAATGGATAGTGGAAAGGAGGGCGGTAGCTAAACAGCTGGCCTTGTGCGACTGAGCTTCGTTTGGCCTCTATCCATAGACTTTTCAGGTTTGCTTGAATCTGTGACAGTGAGGAGTCATCCTGTGTAGTCTGCAGTGCCATGGAGGCACGCAAGCCATCACACAAAGTCAAAACACAGTCTCGTTATGATGGTATCCCGGGCGTGCACGCTTAAGGAAACAAGGGAGACAAACGATTGCATTTCTGCAAATGAGTTATCCTGAAACAGACACCCACTTTGAGAAAACATTCAAAAACGATAGCTTCAGAGGCAACCGTTTATTTGAATGCCTGAAAAAACCGTGGGAGTATAGTGTGGCACATAACTGCTTTGGTATGTTTCTCATCAAGAACTGCAAAAAGTCACACGACATTAACTTCACCCCTAGAGTAATAAGCAACGCACAATTCACGTGCGAGTGAGTTCGAATGAGCGGTTGGTATTCTAGATGAACTTATCCGGGATTTCTTAAAAGCACTTAAACACTCACTTACTGTATTGACGTATGAGAGCGAAAAGATAACTTTGGAGTGGATTACGTAATCGAAGTGATGGTGACCAATCGATCGCATAATGCACACTTCCGTAGCATCCGAATCTTATTGAACAATTCATACGTGAGCGATTTCTGATGGAGCTATCTCTCCCTAACCAAATAAGAATTATATGCCTTGAAATTATTCTTTGGCAATAATAAAGACAGATCGCATTTCCTTGTCTGTCTGCTGACTAGTACAGTACAACCAGGAGTAACACGTGACTCCGGTTCAATCAACAACAATTTGGTTGTGATGTTACGTTCACATAACAACAACCTGAAAACGGTTCGTTTTATTTTGATTGTGGGAAGCATAATAGATCAGGCGTAGCATATTTATTCGACAAATAACATTAGGCGAACAGGTCAGATAAACGTCACATTGACAACGAAAGGAACCGAGAAACTTACAACCAACCATACGAGCAACGTGAGAAGTAGCGGACTTTTTCTTCAGTTCGATACTATCTTCTATAGTGCGACCGATCCATTGAGATTTCACGTCGTCTGAAATACAAAAGACAAAAAAAGTTACATGGTGAAGTCGGGCTGTTCGATTGTGGAAACGAGGGACATTGGCCGTTGGACTCGCAGCAGCGAGCCATACATGGCTTCAATGAGAGCGGATCCGTTTGTAAATTTGTCTAGTGGAGTACAGTCATGAATATGTGCATCCAAAGTACTTCAAAACTATCCTCAAACTTTGATTCGTTGGTCGACACAACGGAGGTTGTAAAGGTATGTGGTGAGGGTACCAATCTTAATGGTTCTTACGGGAAACGAGCTAATAGCTCGCAATTCTTCTCTCTGGAATGGGCGGACAACCTGGGTGAACGAGTAAATTTTATCAAGAAAAGTCATGCTTATTAAAATATACAACAAACAACTTTCAACAACTCAGTCCGTTGTAGCTCATTTTAGTACAAGTGAGCTTATTCAATGAATGAAACATTCCAAACCGATGAAGATCAAAGACGAAAAAACTGTCAGATACTACTGATCGTGTTGAAATTTGGCAACGGAACTAGTTACATGGTATACAGTGGGAACTGTTACAAAAGCCGTCAGGTGGAATTGAAACGGTCATCTCTGAACTCTTCACATAATGGGTTGAGCTACAAACCGACAACCCGATGATATACAATTTTGGTTCCCATTTAGCGCACAGGACAGCAGCTTGGGTAGAAACGATAAAATCAAGAAGCGTGTACTCCTTAGCTTCAGTGGTATTTGAACAAATAGTTGTATGCTAATAGGTGTATATTCAAGTCATGGACAAAGGGTTAGTTTCTTTAATTTCTTTTTATTACACACCTAAATGTGATGAACAGTAGATGGGGTAAACCCCATAGTCACGAGGACCTGCTGTTTATTGATGTAAACCGGCAACCGAAACCCCATGACTTGGAGTGGCGAACCACATAAGGTTAGATGTGGTGTTGAACTGGACGGCAGCAGAGCCGCCTACCACCAAAGTCGGGTGCCGGGGCTCGAACCTCGGACCATAAGGTCCAAAGCACGCCGGTGACAGCGATTAAACTACTGCGCCACAGCCGCCCAATTTGGCGGCTCACCGTGAGTGAAGCAAACCTTGGTTGTTGAAAGAAGCGGCGGTGGATGATCAGTAACAGCGCCCGAGGAGTTTGCCTGGCTAGTGTTTTCTATTATCAAAAAGGGCTAATGTCTGGGGAGCGCATTGTTACTCACTCGTCAAGGTCAATGCAACTGTTGTGCTCCATCTATCCAGCGGGACAATGCGGATCAGGCGAGTGATTCGCGCAATGGTCCATTGGCTTCATTCCGCCGCTTTGCAGATTGAATTTGAGTGTACCAAGGCTAAAGGCAAAACCTATAACAAAAAGGCCGGATGAGTTTCCGTTCCTTTCCCTCCGGCCTGGGTAGTTCAACAACCCAAGACGGTCGGTCCTAGGGACATTAGTCAGTAATGTAATTCTGCAAATGTCTGTAGCTTATACTCATAGAACTGACAGTGGACAATCACATAGAGGTAAAGCGAGTTGAAAGCTACTTTCTAGTCATGAACAAACCTAGCCGTATGCATTTAAAAAAATTATGGATGAACAGGGTGAAAGATGGGCCAGTGGAGATCAATTAGGTGACGAAGTCCAGTAGAGTCAAGGTCATTAACTGGAATATCGTACACATGTCGAATGGTAGATCTGGACGCCAATTACGACTGTACCATGAACACGTCGACATGGTGACATACTCCGAGGGAGAAAAACGCCAACGTCAGTCCAAGCGGCTCATGAAGATGAGAAAAAACTAATCTAACACCAAACTTATTTTGTTTAGAATATCATAAACAGCATGAAAATCAGGTGTCGGATGAAAGTTACCTGTACCAGAATTAATGCATGCATGTTAGCGTGTCGACAACCTAGGATGTATCATTTTCAGGCTTAACTAGAGAAACGATCCGAAGAATATATACATTTACATATTTTTTGCAGTAGTAAATCAGTTAATTAGCGAAGTGATCGACCACGTCCGTGAATAGCTAGTTAGATAGAAACCAGTGTTTACGGGACTCGTTGGATCACTTGAAGGTAGTGGGTAAAACACTGCACTTTGTAAATTTCATACAAATAATCACTCGTTTAAGTCAAACAGATGGCGATCCCTTTTGGATTGATAAAAACAAAGTGAATTGGAAACGCATCATCGTCATTATCATCATTGTACAGCGTAATACAGTGAAGCGAACTTCACTGATCGCTGCCAAACTCATAATGCATACAAGATAAGTGAGAATGTGTAAGGAGAATAGGGATTGGAATTAATTTTACGGACGGGAAAAGAAAGCGAACCTCTACAGTCAACACACAGAGTACACAGTCCAACTGTGCATACATACTAGTTCAAGCATTCTGGACTGATAAAAAGTGACAGCATGATCGCCATTGTTGTCAGTTCGCAGCCATGACCTTCAGTGTCTCCAACCATGCGGTTTCGGGGTCTTTTGGACCCCAACCCGGAAGACAAGAGACACCTACTCTGCCTGATCGCTCTGTGCATTTCTTTATGCCTCGTCCCCACGTCATCTGCTGGCCTCCACGTGGAATTCTACAACCTGTAATAGCCACTTCAAACAAGGCGCGTAGCGGTAGGCGACCGTCGGGCATACGCAAAACGTGTCCTACCCAACGGAACCTACTGAGTTGGATTCGATGAGATAGCGAGTTTTTGTCTGATTTATTCCCAAACACCCGACGACTTACTTCTAAGTTACTAACCCGCTCACTCCATTCCACTCTGGTCAGACTACGTAAGCATCGATTGTCGAACACTGCTAAACGACGTGCGTCTTCTACCCGCAACTTCAAGGT